TTGTGTTATTTACTGCTTTCCATTTACAGCTTATTTTTAAGTGCAGTAGTCTGTGTTACATTGGATGTCATAACATCCGTGATAACATCCATTGTGTGCTTACCATAATTTCACAATGCTCTATTGTAAGTCCCTTTTGGTTCGTTAGCCATTTTCTAAAAAGTTATATGCGAAGTACTAGATGAACCGGTGCTCTGATACCACTTGTTAGACGATGGAAATGATCTAGAAGGAGGATTGAATAGATCACAAATTTATTACAAGAGTCAGCGCTTAAAAATTTGGTTTTAAAAAATTGTGCGGAAGCGACCGAGGAACCAAGTCGTCTAAAGAACCGTTACCGAAAAGATCGGATATCCGACAAGCCAAACGGAACAAAAAATCTAATGAGAAATAGAATCAACAGTTTGATGATTAATCAAGACAAGTAACAACACTTTAAAGAGTCTAATTTCCAATGACTTATAAAGTGTAAATTTAATTTGACAATAAAGAAAACAGTTTATGTGCGATCAATTCGTCGAGCACTTGGTGTGCAAAACACCCCAGGAGTTGTTTCCTATGTAATGTAAGTGCATATTTTTTACAATTACAATCGAAGTGATTGTAATGAGTTTTCAAACTAGATTTTCAGCATACACTACAACAAAATTTTATTGATCAATTGATATTACACAAACGTTAACAATTCAATATAAATAGATAGAGAAAGAGAGAACAACGCCAAATTTGTTTAGGCAGTTCCCCTTTCATCCTCGCTTAGGGTACGTCTGCCCCCAATTCTAAAACTAGAATTGATACATGTATTATCTTGTTGCAAAAGTTTATACAAGAGAATCAATAGTCACCACACACTCAAACCTAGTTATTGATGTTGATATTATGTCTTATCTCCCCTTGATTCAAGATGAATCAAGTGCCTCAGACGTGTTGAACAAACTTCCAGTTACCGCTACTTCTCTGAACATTCCTACCAGTCTTCAAACCTTTCACTCGGCTGATTTCGATCACACACTGTTTGAACCCAAATATTCCTTGCACAATCCTCCGGTTAACGCTACTTAATTGAACGAACCCACCATTCTTCAATCCCCTTCACTCGGTTGAATCTGTGAAGAAAATATTTGTGCAACCCCCCCCCCCCCCCCCAAATCCTTAAGATCTTGGAGAGCAAAACCCTAAATGTTTTATTCAAGAAAAGTCCACCAAAATCTCAACCCAAAACGAGATACACAATCCTACGTTTGGACGTTATCATCTCAATGATTTAAAAGATCAAAAAAAATTATTATGTGTAATTGTTAAGAAAATGCAAGAATGGGGATGAAGATGATGAGAACAATTTGGTGTATATCTTTCACTTTTCTTGTTGTGTTTTAAAATGATGAGACAAAATGTATATATATGATACCTTGACCAACTAACAAACATAACAACAATTTGAAGTGAGACAGATCAGAAAATAGCAGGAATTTAACGAGCGGTCGACCTAAGCTTAAAAGGGGTCGACCTGAGCACACCCGAGAGCAAGAATATGCAAAAATTGAAGTTGTGCGTCGACTGGAACATAGTTCATGCGTCGACGCAAGCTTGCCCAAAAATTACAAACACAAAAGCTTATAGTATGAGTCGACCAGAGGGTCGACGCGAGCACACCCGAAAGCAAATAATAGAAAATAAACTTATGTGAGTCGACCAGAAAAGGGTTTGAGTCGACTCAAACACCCTAAACTTCTAAAAATGAATTTTTGCTCATAGTTTGGTCCACCCAAGCTATGTTTATGTATACCTAAGTCACCTAACATGATTAAATGCACACAAGACATATATGAGAGGCTCCTATATGTATAGAAACATGATTTTAGAATATTTTGTGCATTGTAAAGTATGAATGCAAACTAAGACACGATGATATCGTTCAAATTACAAAGTACAAGCTAATACACGTTTTGACATCATTAAAATAAGGACTAAGGCACCTTGCCCTCACAGGGGGCTCTTGTTCTGGACTGGGCTTGGGGATGGCCCACCGTGGGCACGACCCAACCCAGCTCCACGTCGAGTAGGGTCCAACACAAAGGCCCAATCTGCCATCACCGCGGTAGGTAACATTTCCCGCACGTTCTCCACGTCCTCCTCACGCGGGAACACATCACCAACTGAACCCACGTCCATGAGAATAGGTCATCCACTTCCCGGAGTTCATGGGCATTTGACCCAGGATGAAGACCACGTACTGGTCTTCCCTACCTCCACGTAAGATCTTGGCAGTCATCTGTTGTGGACCTTACGATCCATCCCACAGCAGATGACCGTTGGCCCAGCGCCGGGGGCATATTATAAATACTCTCCTCCACATGAGGGTCAGGTATTCTAAACTCATTATGTATTTGCTCTCTCTTTTCACTCAAAACCTCACTTTGACATCGGAGTGTCTTTTAGGTACACCCCCTCCTCTTCTCCATCATCGGCGAACTTGGAGCTCACGACGTGTTGCTGGCCACTGATTGAACTTCTCATCCTGGTAAGATCTGGTCTATTCACTCCTCTCTCTCTCTCTCTCTCTCTCTCTCTCTCTCTCTCTCTCTCTCTCTATATATATATATATATATATATATATATATATATATATATATATATATATATATATATATATATATATATATATATATATATATATATATATATATATATATATATATATATATATATATATATATATATATATATATATATATATATTGTTTATCTACTTCATATTCTCATCCAATAGGTCGCTCTTTCCATCGCATTTCACCAGCGATGACGGTTTGAAATTCTCTAGTACTAGAGCGCCCCAAATCTCATCTAAGAGGGGCTTGGGGTCCAAGACCTCTTCTTTTATTAGTAAATATTTATGGTGTAAGGCATTTACCACCAACGTCTGATTGGAACGACGTAGCTCGTCCATAACATCCTGCATCTCTGCTAAATTTTCCTGGTCGTCGTGGCTCGCACTAGTAGCTATGGTGGCGCTTTGTTATGTCATTGTGTTAAAGACGGTTATGGAAGCGGTTGAAAGTTAGATTTCAGTGTGGTATAGGTCAGTTACACCGAGACCCCATGGCAAATGCTAATTGTAATAGTGAAATATAATAATGCATGAGAGTCTGCTTGTGTGTATGGTTGCAAGAGACAATGTATGCTAGATTTTGCAGAATTAGTGAATGATTCTCCAAGTCCTAAAGGTTGGAGTATTTATGGATGGCTTCTTAGGCAAGATATTAGTGAGAGAAATAGTTACCCTAGCTTCCTGGAAGATATGTGGGAGTGAGTGAAAACCAGTTCTTCTTGAAATATTGGAGGGATGGTTTTCTCTTTTACTACCATGATCTAACTCGGTTTCTCCTAGACATCTCATAAGCAGGATAATAGTGAGAGAAATAGTTATCCCTAACTTCCTGGAAGATATGTGGGAGTGAGTGAAAACCAGTTCTTCCTGAAATATTGGAGGGATGGTTTTCTCTTTTACTACCATGATCTAACTCGGTTTCTCCTAGACATCTCATAAGCAGGATAATGAGAGAAACAATTATCCCTAACTTGGGATAACTTCCTCGAAGATATGTGGGAGTGAGTGAAAACTAATTCTTTCTGAAATATTGGAGGGATGGTTTTCTCTTTTACTACCATGATCTAACTCGGTTTCTCCTAGACATCTCATAAACCATGTGTATTAAAATAGGTGGATCATAAGTATATGTTCTATGATCTAACTCGGTTTCTCCTAGACATCTCATAAACCATGTGTATTAAAATAGGTGGATCATAAGTATATGTTCTAGCTGCACAACCCATACTCAATTGGGCAATCCAATACTCATCTGTCCAATAATCCAACAACTTCTTTGATCTGCTTTGTCATGGGCTATCTCTATATAAATCCAATAAAATCAACTCAGTCCACAAACAAATTGTAATTGCCTCTAAAAGCCACGTAAATTAACATAATTTAAGTTTAATTATTAATTTGATTTCAATGTTAATATTTTCAACAAGTAGATACAATTCCTCACAAAAATAAAAGAATACAAGGAAAGGGGAAAAAAAAGTAAAATATTCTCTTCCTTTCTTTGAACCTTTGAGAAGAATTAAAAATATGTGTGCCCAAATTGTTTTCGTCGTTCTCTCCCATTGCAGTAAAATATTCTCACCCTTTCTTTGAACCTTTGAGAAGAATAAAAAATGTGTGTCCAAATTGTCTTCGTCGTTCTCTCCCATTGCTTTGGCGCGTGATTTCTATTTCTCTACTTACTCTCATTCTTCACTCTAGGTATTTTTCTTAAACCAATCACACAGGAAATGTTTGCGAAAGCCAAGTAAAATTATCTTCCCCAACATGTTTTTTCCTCCACACCACTAACTAACTTAGACAAGTGTTTCAAAAGAATGAGACAGCATTACAGGACTTAATTTTAGAACTAGATGTGTGCTTAGAGAATGATTGTTGTTAAATGATAAAGGGAAACTGCTGTTGGGTGTTGTTAGTATGGTGATGATGAGGATTGAGATGGGAGGCAAACTTTCATACATACTGCATAGGACACCAGTCTTTCATGCATATAATAATAATTTAGAAAGATTAAGACTTGGCTTTTGCAGCTTAACGTGAATGTTGCAAGAGACTCTGTGTCTTCTAGAGGATACATTAATTAAACAGGTGCATCTAATATTCAAGAACAGCAGCAACTTTATTCAGCATGCATTAATTCAGATCGAAAAATCTTTAAGCTTGTTCATTACATACAAAACAAAGATTCTCAAGGAGTTCTATAAGTATCCGCTCCTTCCACAAGACAGGTAGATGTTGGTCTTTCTTACAACAAAACGCCGAGGTTACATAAAGTTGTACAGAAATCAGCTTCAACAAAAGAAAATACACAAATACAGGGACAACACTTATCAGACTAGACTTGTTTTGTCCTTCCATAGAATTTCATTGAAGATCCTGAGCGAATGCTCTAGTTATCTGCAACAATATAATTACAGGATTCGGTTAATCGAGGGTTGTTGCTTATAATACAAAACTTTACCGAACTTAAGTAAATCTCACCGTGTGGCGACTGAGAGCTTGTGGC